AAAATATTTTTCCTTTTATTTTTTGTTAATTTTTTGTATTTTTTAATCCAACTTTGCATGCAAACAGTAGTGCGAGTGTTGCTAATTGTCTGTAAAGCTGTGTACAATTAACGCCATCTGCAAGCAAAAAATTTGATTTTACTGCTTTTTATGCAATTTCTCAGAACTCTCACAATATTTTCCAAAGCAGAATAAACGAAATGGAAGAAAGTTGAAAAAACCGGCAAACAAGCATATTTTTTTAATTTTTTGAGCACTCACATGTATTTAATATGTATTCAAGTGACGTCGAGCAGTTTACATGCACATATAGCTTTTTAATTTGCTTGTGACTGCTGATAGTACTTACGCTGTTGTTGTAATTTTGTATAGCATACGATTGTCACAAAAGCAAAGCAAGCGCTCACATAGCAGCTGCCTTGGAAGCGACTCATTTGTAATTGTAATGAAATTTCGTCTTTTGTATTGTTTTTGCAAGCAGTTATTTTTGTAATTGTTTTCACTTTTCAAATATTTTTATTCTTAATTTTTTCTCTAAAAAGTTATTTTTTATTATGACAGACACTTGGGTACTCCGTGTTGCTATTCTCATGCATAATACTTTTTTGTGATGTTTTTTCATACTTTACATAATTTTATTTATATAACTGTGTACATAAAACATAGTATATATATATATGCTGCCTATAAAATATACCCGTGATGGCAGTTAGCCATTGCACGCATTTGAATTTCACCTCATCAAACATTTGCTTTTAATAGTTATGATTATTGTCATTTCGCATGTTCGTCCTGTGTGCAGAAAATTTGAAAACATTCAATTAAAATGCAATGCAAATAATTTTTATTAACTATTTAGAAACGTTGTCTGCATTTAAAATAGGCACTAGTTGGCGTAGTGTCATATTTAGTAGAGTTTTTTGTCTTTTTTTTTTTTGCTCTTTGATTATGAAAGGCCGCAGCAAATGGTGGGAGAGTTTTACAGTTTTTGTTTTTGTTGGCAGTCGCTTGGTTATGGCGTTGACTATAATTGGTTATTGCGGCGTGCAAAAATAAAATATTAGTTCGCTGTGTGGGAAAAGGCGTGGCTTGTTGATGTGTAGCTTTAAATGGGCGAAGAGATGTGAGCTGAACAGAGGTTTTGAGCTTGTATATAATTGTTTGACAGTCAGAGTGTTTTTCTCTTTGATGCAAAGCGAGTAAGAGAAAATTTGTYGTTTTAATTTTTGATAAATTTTCGSTAATGAAGAMAAAAAATACTTTSGTTTTGKAGAATAAACATTTTTGTTTCTGAATTTAGTTTCGTTTTTGAGTGGAATCTGATTTTTTTTGAGAATTGTTAAATATGTTTTATACGTCTGATTTTTTAGTATAAAATGTGATAYTTTTAAAGGTAGTAAACTTGCCAGAAGCTTCTGCATAATTTATATCTTTCATCCTTTTTTATAATATTACAGAAGTCTAACTTTGAATGTTGTTAAACTTTTTTTAAGATCACAAACTCATATTTTTGTAAATTTTTCACTTTTCCAGTCTACTTTCCAATATATACTATATTTTATGTTTAAATTATCCATCATATGACTTTAAACAGCTAATTGCCCTCCTTCTGCTTTATATAATTAACTTTTCCATATTTATTTGCAAAAAACCTGAAATGAATACACACTATTCCTGCTTTCAAATTTCAATATGCCGTCAGCAACATGCCTTTTGACGCGTCAATGTTGCCAGCTTTTTGTGGAAATTAGCTGAGAAAAAAAATAAATAAATAAAATAAAGCCAAAGCGCATATGGGCTAAGTTCGAACACACACAAACACATATGCATTTCTTATAATATGCATTAGAGCACATGTGTGAACCTTAGACGCACACGCAGCCGCATATTAATTYCTTACGCTTGCGATTTTCTTTTAAATTGCAGCTAAGCATATATTTATAAATTTATAAAAYATTTTTTTAATCACATGCATGTAGTATGTATTTCTGTAGCTGTTCGCTTTAACTTTTTTAGACATAGTCTAGACGTTCTGACCGCGCTTGATATGCACGCAAATGTACACACATACATTGCTCAGCGTGTTCGCATGTTTGGCGGTGCTTCGGCGTCCCTGTATACATATTCGTATTTATGTGTAAGCATTTAAATATGTATGCAGCGTTGCGTAAAGCCCATCATTTCGTTTTTGACATTTTGACAGGCCGACAGGTTGGTCTAGTCGATCGGTCGACTTGTTAAGGGAAATTTTGTCGGTTTACTGGGAAACTCCATGCCGACAATAATCGTAGAATTTCAAGTGAAAGTATGTGCGTGTGGGAAACTGTGCACCTAAAAAAAAAATATATAAGCCAATGTTGAATGCGATAAACGGAGTTTTATAACAGTTAGTGAAAAAAAAATATTTAAAAATAAGTTATT